CTGCTGTCAAAGCGGCTTCGCGCTCGACCTGCTGCTCAAGGCCGGGGCCGCACACGTCGTGGCCGTGGACGCGCAGGCCCAGGCCCAGGGCTGCTGCGAGGCCACCGCGCGGGAGGCCGGGCGCGGGGGGCGCGGCGCGGGGATGATCTCGGTGCGGCACTGCGAGCAGCTGCCGACGGGTGGGGGGCGGGGCTTCGATTTCCTTCTTTATCACCCCCCCATGACGGGGTGGTGGCCGGTTGAGGTGGGGCCTGCCTCACCCATCCGGCGGTCGGTGGGGTGGTGGCCACTGGCTACGGCTGAGGCGCGCCGCCTGGGGGCCCCGGCGGCGCTGCCGTGGCTGCCCGTTTCCCCGGACTGGGCAGGTGGGGCCCACCCCCACGCCGGACTCCACGCTCTGCAGGAGGTCACGCACACCCTCCGTGGGGAGGCTGCGGGCCGCGGAGGCCTTTTGGCCGATGGTGCCTACGTCGCAATGGTTCTCCCCGTCGCTTTCCATGCAAGAGAGCTCGCCGAGGGCGGAGGGGGGGCACGCGGCCAGGCCTTAAGCGATTGGGTCATCGCCCAGCTCGAGGGCGACTACGATATCATCTTCCGACGTCGATGTCTACTGTCGGACGACCAAAGCGGTTCTTCAGCCCACTTTGTCTCGCCTTTGGTCCGGCATGCCTTGGAACAGCTGTCGCTGGAGCCACAGCGGGGGGGTAGGGTCGACCACTCGCTTGAAAAGTGGCTCCGCGAGTCACTATGGGTGGATTCGTTAGTTTTAAAGCCGGCGACGTCGTCACATGGCAATGCAGCGCCAAAACCCAATGGTGTCCGATCTCGGTTCGGTGTCCATCATGAGGCGGGGGGGCATCGCCATGCTCTAGTCATAGATCAGACAGATTCTTCGTCTTCGTCTTCTTACAATAAAAAGAAGACCAACACCGTACGGTGGAAGGATAGCTTCGAGTACATGGAATACAAGCCAAAGGGCTTACCTAACAGCCGATACCACTGGACAGATCAGGTGCCATCATACAGCTACCTTGAAGATGATTTTTACGACCCTTTAGGAACACAAGATCGTAATTATCTAGCAGTTGGACATTCTCCAATCCTAAAGCGCGAGCCGGAGGGAGTGAAGGCTACAGACACCAGTGTTGACACGTGCAATCCATTGTCGATGCACAAGAACCAAAACAAGGGGATCTCAAAGGCGGTGGACAACTTCCGAAGCGTCTTTACTGAGGAGCTACGTACCAACCGGAGCTCTAAACTGCGGAAACTAGCTTTCTCACCGTTAGAGCAGCAAGAGTGGTACATTGACGAGAAATTAATTCGTTCGGAAGCTGCCAAAGTAGAGTTCATGAACGAGTTGACCCGGTGGAACTTCAAAGATTTAGACTAATTTACGTCTGGATTACTGTCGTTCATGTTTGACTTTTATTTTTTGCTTCAAAAAATAAAGAGGGAAACTTCGATCATCTGTTGATAAGACTCGATGCTAGGTTTAGTGTAGCTGGAGCTATAACAATTGCTTTGACTTTTTTTTCTTGTAAGTTTCTTTTTCCTCACTTTTTTTTTGGTGGAGTTACCATTTCATCTATTCGCTTCTCGTTCTCTTTATAGTCAGCCTCATATTTAGTTCAATCAAGTTTAAATTCCAAAAAGGCTAGACCATTTATCACCGTTAATGGACACTTCAATTTCTAAATCGAAACCAACCTTTTTGAATGGTCGTCCCTCTTGTATTTATGATAAGTTTTACCCATGCACCCATGATATAACCAACGGGTCGCTGTTCAGATTGGTAGATAGTTCCAAAAGATTTTGGTACTTCTACAATGATTCGAAGGATATGGTCGCAAAAGTGTGTGCAATTATGAAGCCGGGTAGTGATATCCAGGTTCTAAAGAATGCCCATCTATCCGTTCGGCAAACCCCCCAAGGGCTGGAAAAGATTGTTAAAGTGGAGGTCCCGCCATGTGGCACCGTCGATTTTATCGAAGGAGTGCCGTATGAGTTTGAGATTGAATTTGCCTTTGAAGCGGCACCCATCCCGATGCACGAGCTGAGCTTTAAGCGAAAGCCCTGCTGCTACTTTGACAAGGCTTATAAGTGTTTTAAAGAACTAGAGAACGGGCTGTTCTTTCGCCTGGTGGACAGCCAACGCCAGATCTGGTACTTTTACAACGACACCACCGATTACCGGATAACAGCAACGGTGACTTTTGAGGACGAGGCGGAGGTTCGCCCGCATAGCGGGGTGGTGAAGGTCCCCGGCCCCCCTGAGGACTACCCCAAGGGCGTCACCTACCACATCGCGGTCGAGCCCGGCGCCACGCGGCCTTTCATCACCGGCGACCCTCGGTCCTACCGCCTGAGCTTCCACGCGGGCCCGGCGCAGGTGGAGCGCCCCCTTTCCCCCGGGGAGATTTTCTACGAGAATAAAGGGCCCGACGCGGCCCTCTGCGGGCCCGATGCCGATGTCTTCAAGTGCTTTCCCAAGGATGGGAACGGGTTGCTGTTCCGCCTCGTCAGCCCCGCGCGCCGGACCTGGGCCTTTTACAACGACACCATTGGGACCGTGATGCAGGTGGAGCTGTGGATTTCCAACGAGGAGAACTGCACCCCGGGCCCGGATGTCCACACCACGGTGGACCCGGCCCGGCCTGGGATGACGAAGCTGACGCTGACGCTCCCCCCGCTCACGACGCGGCGGATGCTGCGGGGGCTGCCCGGGAGCTTCGAGCTCTCCTTCGTCGCCGAGAACGCGGACAAGCCGATGCCGGAGAAGACGGTCCAGTTCCGCTATGGCGGCCCGGACCCGAAGCTGATGCGCTACGATCAGGTGTTTAGCGCCTGGAAGGGAAAGGACCCCGAGGATGGGGAGCTGTATCGCTTGGTGTCCACCAAACGGAAGCAATGGGGGTTTTACAACGACTCGAAAAATATGTTCCTCAAGGTTCAGGTGAAATTCGCCGCCGATAAAAAGATAACCCCGCTCGGGGAGACGCGGATAGAGATGGATCGAAATGGGGACGGCGTGTGGTTTGTCGTGGATATCCCCCCGCTGGTGACGATAAAGTTCGTGGAAGGCGAATACTCTAGTTACGAATTAACACTTTCAGGGACATTCAAAAAGAGTACTCGAAGAACTTTCATTAGTCGTTAACCAACCCACAATAACGAAGGCTATTGTTTGGTAATAGGAATTTGACACGTTCCATGGATGAAAATAAAAAGATGTTGAATATATTCAAAGGAGTTTTTACTTCACTCAAAATATATTTGGACGTCTTTAATGCAAATGATGATAGGGTTTTATCTAGAATCTATCATATAAAAAAACTTCTCATAAGATATGGAACCCCCTCCAAACACTTGAAAAAAAAAGAGGCTAATTCTGACTTTTATTAGCAATTTCCATTTTACCTACTTTTTGTAGTTTCCAGATGAGACTATTTTAATTCTGATTAGCGGTAAATAAATAAATATATATATATATATATATATATATGTGTTGTGTTGATTAAATACAAAGCTATTTTTTTACTAAATGAGATTGTTTATTTTTTTTTTGTTGTAACTTC